TAGCGACTTCCCAAACCCAGCCGGTGGAAACCTTACGATCGCAGCCAAAGATTGAGACCCCTCTAGTGCTGGAGGAAGGAGCCCGGGTGGCTGTGCACTGGACTTCTAACTGCAAGGTGGGCAGTTCGAATCCACCAGCCACCCCGAGGGAGAAGGAGGAGGCTTTTTACTCCTGTAAAGAATCCCCACCTTGGAAACCCACCAGGGCAGTTCTCCCGTCTACTCTCTACTCCATAGGGCCTGTCCTATAGGATCTCTACATGTGGGAATTGACTTGCGGGCCGCGAATGTGGCTTTGCTCGGTTTCAGTGGTGGAAGATGAGTCTCCAGGTGGACACGAACTCAAAGAGAGGCGATGGACGTGGTGTTGGATGTGTGGGGAAGGTGCCGGACTGCTGCTGGTGTGACAGCACCCGAGAACAGCCTCCTTTGGGGGACGAATGTGCAGACCTGCAGGAGCGAACCTGGACATCGTTCAAGAGACGTACAAGGTCGTCCTCCTCCTCCTCGTTATCACAAGCAGGGTGACTATTTTTCTCCGACCCCCATCGTCTGCTCCCTGTTGCCTCTTCTTGGCCTGTCCTCATTCCCCAGGACCCGGCCTGGGGTCTGAGCTCTCTCTTTGAACTCCACCCCTAGCACACACAAAAACACCACCCACCAAATCAAGTCATCGAGTCCAGGCCGACTCATGGTGACCCTACAGAACAGGGTTGAACCGCCCCCTACGAGTTTTCCCGAGATGGTAAATCTTTATGGTAACGACTCTTTACTTGGTGGGAGTAGAAAGCTCCGTCTATCTCCTGCAGAGTGGCAGGTGGTTTCAAAGCGCTGACCTTCTGGTGAGCAGCCCCGAGGTGTAACCACTATGCCATCAGGCCTCAATGCCAGAGCAGGCTGCACATGCCGCTGTCATCTCTCTGGAAACAGCAGCCGCAGCCGCAGCCGCAGCTGATGCTGGGCTCTCCCTGTGTGTGTCCCAGGGTTTCCAATGGCTGGTCTTCTGGAACGAGGTCTCCAAGCCTCTCTTCTGGAGATGAGCTAAACTCTCCAACCCTTCCTCCCCCTTCCTAGCCCTTCTTCCCCAGGGGCTTCCGGACCAGGAGCAGGTGGGTTTGCTGTGGTGCAGGAGAGACACGGTTCTCCTCCATGAGAGCCGTGGGGCTGCAGGAGGCCCCCCACCTTCCAGCAAAGATGCATGACTGAGGAAGGAGGCTAGCAGGGGTGGGGACACAGGCGGGACTCACACGATCACCAGCCACTTGCTCTGCTTCGCCAGGCCCAGGAGGGTGAACAGGCAGACCAGGAGCTCGAGCAGCAGCAGGAGGACGTAGGCCAGCCACCTGGGAGGGGACACATAGCGGGTTGAGGCAGCAAGCCTGGACGTCTGAGCCCCAGGTTCCAAGACTGGAAGGGCCCCAGGTTCCAAGAGTGGGTGGGTAGCCTCCAGGCCTGTGCTCCAGCCCTGCCCAGCTCAGGACCCGAGTCCACTTCCAGCCTCACTCAGCAGAGAACCTGCGTCCACCCCCAGCTCTGCCCAGCTCCAGACCTATGCTCATATCCCAGCTCTGCCCAGCCTCAGAGAGAGTGAGTGGGCAGTGCCCCAGATCACACCCCAGTTCCACCCGGCTTCAGAATCCAAGTGCATGCTCCCGATAGCCTCAGGTGGGGCAGGCAAAGCCCCAGGTCCGCGCCTCAGGTCTGCTTACCCTTGGGGCCCAAGTTGGTGCCCCGGCCCCTGACCCACCTTGGAGAGGGTGGGCAGCCCCGTGTTCACACCCCATTCATGCCTGATACTCCCTGGCCCTGTAATCATTCCTTGCACTGTTGGGCTGTGCTCTGTACCCCATTCTTGGGTAGATGTTGTTACCCCAAAC